ATATGGCACAAATGAACGTCTAGGTTCCAGTTTTACTTGCGTGTTGAGTTGCAGAGTGTGAAGTAAGAACCATGAAAACTGTTGGACGTCTGCAGGTCACTCATCACCAAGAACACTGTTCCGCACTTTTGGGCCTCTGCAGAACCGGAAAACTGGAAAACCGCATCCGGAGTCAACCTTGTATTCTTCACATCTGCATTTTGCATTTATCCCCGTATCACTGTGCCTATCTGTGCCTTATTGATACTCCACCTTTGCATCTGCATCTGCGCACCTTTTATTTATACACCTGTGTCTGCCCATTCTGAATCTCTAGATGTACATGACCTCTACATACCTTCGCATGTGCGCGCGCCTCTGTTTGCGCAATCCCAGAATATGCAGCAGCGGATGAAGCTCTCAAAAGACCGGGAAAACACTTGTACCTCTGCTTTGATGACGCTGCGATGATAATGAATGATGCAGGTGATCATGCCTTGAGATTGTTGATGCTTGAACGACGATGATTGCGCTGTTATCATGAGTCATGATGCTCTTAGGTCTTTTATAAGGGGAACGGAGAGGCAAATGGAATTGACAGCATTTATTTGCAACGAATCCTTCGGGAGGTGTTGGAAAAAGCAAACGACAAACCGAGAAACATTGCATCTTCAAGCTCCTGATTGGCCTGCGGACTGCTTTTGTATCTGAAGAGGCTCTTCTCTGGTGTCTTGAACGCTTTCCTCAGAACGTGGTCGCGGAAAATCCCGCAGCGCTTCGCAGCCGAGCACGGCTAACTTGCCCAAATGGCAAGGCCGGGCTAGATGTTTCCAGCTACGAACACCTTCCTTTGGAAGTTCTTCAGAGGAGTCGTCGAATTGTGAGTCTGGATTGGGGCAACTTCTATGGGTTTACAATGTTTTGAACATGATGCTTGTCAAGCAGGTGAACCTGCAAACAGCCTCTACACAATGGAGCTTATGTTGTCATGTCGTCCAGTCCATTCTCAAACCACCGAAGAAAAGACAATTCTCTTATAAGTGACCCGATTTTCGGTTCGAAACAAAATTGAGATATCATTGAGGAAGTATGAAGGTGCCATCGTCGCCATAGTCATAGGGCATCTGTGACTTTGCCGCATTCGGTACCGACCCTGAAAGACATCAAAATAAGAAACAAGCTGAGCCCGAGAACCCAAGCAGAACCTCAGAGCCAGAAATGTCATCCTTGCTCCTAGTAGCTTCTTGTTACTAGTAGCTTCAAAGACCTCCTAGTAGCTTCTTGTTACTAGTAGCTGCAAAGACCTCCTAGTAGCTTCAAAGACCTCCTAATAGTTTCTTGTTACTAGTAGCTT